CAGCTGGTTATTGGGTGAGTGGGTCTAATCGACCTTTGATCTCACTCCGCCTGTTATTCTGAATAACACAGTACATTTGTTTCCAAGGCAACTGACATTAAAACAAAATCCTCCTTCCTGCACTGCATGCTGGGAGTGTGAGTGAGTTTGTTTGGGATGTGTTTTCAGAAGCTTTACACCCTGTGGTTGTTCATTGGTTAAAGATAGGTTTATTTCACTGGGTTGTGTAGAATGACAGTTTCACTGCTGAGCTGGACACAGACCAGAAACATGGCAGAGAACGAATTAACCAGGAATTAAAATATACTCAAGAGTCAAAGTGACGAGTGTCACTGTACCAGCAGCCAGCTTAGACGGGCTTTAACAGCAGTGATAAGGTCAGCAACATCACCTGTGGGCTTCATCATCGGACCATCGTGCAGCAGGAGCGCTGCAGCGGTGCTCGCATTAACAGTTCAGTGTTCATGATGAGATTCTGTTAAGCTTTTAGTCTTTTTTGGAGCCAGTGGGTGTCGAGGAAAATTCATCAAAGTTGTTAACTCAGTGGGAAATCAGGAAAACTCGAATGAGAATCTTTTGTCTCTATATCAGCTGCAGGAGGGAACAGTGGACTCTGGGAAATTTGTTTTTCCAGCAAACTGTTTTTCCTGCTTTTGCACCACTGCAGTGCTGCAGCTTCGTTACTCGGTTCTCTGCAGCCGAGGTGGTGCGGTGCTTTCAGCAGCAGGTTCTCCGAGAGGCAGCTGGAGGTTCGTGTACAAGCCTCCACTGCAGAAACGTAGTGGCTCTGCAGTGGGGGTCCACGGGTCCACCCTGCTACATTAGTGGGGTGGATGTCCCAGCTACATCACTCCAGCAGCGGTGCTGAGAGTGCTCATATTCCCCAGCACAGCAGCCTTTCCAGCTTTCTCATTGGTCAGGCAGAGATGGGATTCATGCTAACTAGGAGAAAGAAACCGAGGGGAGCGCGGTGACAGATGTTGACCTCGTGTTCGAGGGTCTGACTGCTTATAAAACGGCGGCACATCCACATGTTTCTGTGAAGACTCAACTCTGATGCTGTGCGTCTGTGAACACGTGCAGTAATATTTCCCCTCTTTCTTTGTGTAACTGTCAGAGGTCAAAGGTCTCCTCCTCTCTGAGGTCATCAGTCACAGGTCCACACTGTCGGACTCTCTGGTGTCAGACCACAGACGCCGTACCGGAGCGTTTGTCCTTCAGAGAATCAGGTGTGGAGGTCATCCGCTGTCACCTGTCTGCAGGTAGGAGACCCCGCCCACATCAGAGCCATGCTGAGGCTCCTCCTCTCAGGCCTGAAAACGCAGCCGAGCCGCTGCTGCTCCAGCTTCGTGTCCAGGATGAGGTAACTCGTTATTTTGCTCGATTACTGATCAGTCGGTCGATCGATGGGCTGATCAGCTGATCTGTCCTTTCAGGTATGTGAACAGGCTGAAGGAGGACGACGAGGCGTGCGCGGCGGCGCTGAAGGATGGCTCCATCTTCCTCTTCCACCGCTTGTCTCCTCTGCTGCGACGCCCCGACGCCAGAACCTTCAGCCCAGCAGCTTTCACCTGCTCAGGTACAGAACCAGAGCGAGCAGCGCTGAGGACCTCAGTCAGGTGACATTCCCGCTGAGACGCTTTTTCGTGTTCCAGATGTGCAGTTGGTCCTACAGAGGCTCGGTTCAGACGGGTCGCAGCTGAAGGAGGCCGTTCTGATTGGCTGTTCTGAGCAGAACCAGGCTCAGTTCTGTCTGGATGTCGGTGAGAACGATTGAAATCCAGATCCCTGCATTGCGAGCTCGCCAGCGCCATGTTCCTGACTCTGGAGGTTCTGGTCTCTGTTCAGGAGAACTGGACCAGGCGGCGGTGGAGGAAGCCTCTCAGGGGACCTTCATCGATCTGAGGAAGGCCTTCTTTCTGCTGCCCGCAGCTGAGGCGCCTCTAGTGTCCAAGGTAAGTGATGGAGCTGACCTCTGATACCCACGTGTTCGGTTCTGGTACCAAATCAGGAACGTTTCAGCACCGTCCCACCAAACCGATGCTGATACTGCCCAGTAGAAGAGTCACACAGTAGTCTGTGTGTCCTGACCCCGTGTGTCCTGACCCCGTGTGTCCTGACCCTGCAGGGTCAGGCGCTGCTGCGTTGGCATCAGACCAGCAGGTTCTGCGGCGCTTCGGGCCAGCCGACTCAACGAAACCGAGCAGGCAGCCAGAGGTTCTGCAGCAGCAGCTCCACCGTCTACTACCCGAAGGTAACGTCCTCGGTGCAGAACTGAACCAGAACCGAGCCGGGTCTGACTGTTTGTGTCTACAGATGTCTGCGGTGGCGGTCGCCCTGGTGTCTGATGGGAGTCGGTGTCTGCTGGGCCGCCAGCCAACCTTCCCACGTGGACTCTACAGCGCGCTGGCTGGCTTCTGTGACATGGGTCAGACTCACCTGTGTGTGTGTTTGTGTGTTTGTGTGTGTGTAGAACTCACCTGTGTGTGTGTGGTTCCAGGTGAGACTCTGGAGGAGGCGCTCTGCAGGGAGGTGGCGGAGGAGGTGGGTCTGGAGATCCAGAGCATCTCCTACAGCTCCTCACAGCACTGGCCGTTCCCGCACAGCTCCTTCATGCTGGGCTGCCACGCCTTGGTTAGCCCCGCCCACACTCAGGTGAGCTCACAGGTGATTATTGAGGTTGTGTAATCAGGACGAGGAGAAGCGAGCTCGGAGCTCCTCGTACTCAGTGATGTAGTGTCACGTGACCTGCTCTCGTTTCCTGTGCAGCTGAGCGTGGACAACTCAGAGCTGGAAGATGCTCGCTGGTTCACCATGGACGAAATCACCCGCGCCCTCCAAGTGAAAGCTCCGCCCAGGAGAGGCGACCCCCCCATCATCTGGCTTCCTCCGAAACACGCCCTCGCCAACCGCCTCATCAGGGAGTGGGTGGAGCAGCAGCGGCAGAGTGAGGGCGGAGAGTGACGGAGGCGGAGCTGCAGTCGGAGTCATCGGATCACACCTGAAACACGGATGTTTCATCTCCGCTCCTGAGATCTCACAGTTCAGAAGTCCATTCAGATTCTGTCTGATTTTAGCCGCCTTCACAGATCTAACCTGTGACCTTATTGAAAGAAACTTTTAATGTGAAAAACATTCAGTCAGTCACGACAGGAAGCAGCTCGTGGACTCTGACCTGCTGATGTTTCCTCCAAACTGGTTTTAATTTTCAATAAAAATCCCAGAATGGAAAAAAGCTTGTGCTCGGTTTCTTTTATCTGAGAAAGAATCAGCAAACACCAGCGTTCACTCATCAAACGTCCGATTTAACAAACGAGCTGTCCAAGGGGCGTTCGAGGCCGCGGGGTCTCACCTGTCCAGGTTTACCTGAGACCTCGCAGGACAGACATGAACTCGGGTGGAGGAGAAACATTTTCACTGCCCTGCTTCTGCTCAGCTTTTATTTTGGTATTTCCTGTGAAACACTGGAGGGACGTGATTGATCACTCTTCTTCTGTGGTATCTGTCCTCCGGGCTCACTCAGGATAACACAGTTTGTGATGGCGGGTTTGCTCTGCTCGTCCTCGGAGTGTGAGGAAGCTGCCAGGATAAATGAATCAGTCTGGTTTGTGAGATTCGTATCAGGACGATAAATAAATGAGACCGACCGCCCTGCGTGCAGCTTTGACCCAGAGTGACACGTTCTTCTCTGTACACCAAAGATTTCTGTTTATCATCATGTTTCTGATTGGATGGCTGTAAATGGAAATAGAGCAAAACGTTTTTTATTGAAAGTGTTTATTTGTTTGATTTTTAGATGAAAAAATAAATATTTAGCTACTCGTTGGAGGCACAAACCGTAACGTGTAACCTGATCCAGCCCAGAAACAGGCGGAACGACAGTCAGACATCCGTGAGCTCTGTCCGGATCACAGTTAGAAACGGAAGCGGCTTCCTGTTTGAACCGGAAGCCAGAGCTGCTCTTGGTGCAACCCCCCGTGTAGTTCGGGTCTGTGGGTCGGATCAGACTGGACTCTCGGTTCTTTCCCCCGGGCCCTCTGTCCTCTGAGTAACCGCTGAGAGCGGCCCGAGGTCCCGCTGATGGTCGGCAGGGCTCCGCGGCCTGTCAGCCCGCAGGATGAGCTTCTCCGCCGGCCTGCACACACAGCTGGCCGCCGTCATGGAGTCCCTCGTCCACGCTGCAGTGGCGGAGCTGAAGAAGCTGGTGGAGGCCGGAGAGGAGCAAACTCTGCTGACCAGAGAGAGGACGGAGAGCCGCGAGAGGATGGTGAGGAGCGGGGACTGCCTGGTGTGGCGGTGTAACTGGTTGCCCAGTGTAGCTGGTGTGGCGATGTAACTGGTGACTCAGTCTAACTGGTGTG